TTCATAAAAAATTCATTTAACATCTAAATTGGGCAAACCTAATTTATTTTGGAAGTAAACATATGAGAGTGTAAAACTGGAAATTTAAGCCATGATCCAATGCCAAAAGGTTAGTGAAATAAATCATCTAAAAATATGTTTTCCAGCTGCAATAAAAACATGGACAGCAGATAGTTTCAGATTTTTAAAAACTTTTAGAAATGCTCTAAAATCGTGAAAAAATTCTGAGTAGTGTAAAACCCATGGGGAAAGTTCCAATAAAAATTTTAAGGTAATTAAAGTAACACAGCTCCATATAAAAATTCATTTCCGGACCGAAAAGGAAAAGCTTCAAATTTCCAACAACTAGCTTGCAACTTAAAAAATTCATAACTAATTCATTTTAAATCCAAATTACATGAAACCAAAACTAAATGAAAGCTAATTGAGTATATTTTCATATTCTATATTTAATTTGACAAGATTAATTTCAAGTTAAAACAGTTTAAGGGCAAAATAAAAATCCTTCTCTTCCATGCATGTAAAACACTCAATAATGACATAAAAATATTTCAAAATAATAGATCAATACCTGACTAGAGAATTGAATCTTTTGATATCAAAGCAAAACTAGGAGTTATGCTAGATCCTTCAAGGGTTTTGAAGAGGAGGATGAGGGGAACAAAAAGTATTCCAAGCTTTATGGTCTAAAGTAAGTGGAAGGGCCTCAAAGATCATGGTCAATGCCTAAGGCTTCAAGCTCCATCCATGGAGGCTAGGGTTTTCTTGTAAGGAAGAGAATGAAATAATCTGGTTAAGTGTGAGTGGAGAAAATAAAAATCTTCCACTCACTATGTACTCTTACACCATGGTTAACACACACATCTATGGTCAATTGCACAAAAACACTCCTTTAAAACCATAATCCCAAAGTGGCTCAAAGATATTTGCAAGACTAAATTGTGAACCTATACTTGTCACCAATCCATGGCTCCTTCCTAAGCTTAATCCCACACCTACACTTGTCAACCATCCAAGCCAACAAGTGTACCAATCCTAGGCCAACAAGTGGGTGAATCCTCACCTTCCAAATGTCATCATCCAATGCATTAAAGTGTTTCCACACAAATGTCAACAAGTGGACCAATGAGAGTGTGACGCTTGTCATACTTTTCAAAAATTGCAAAAAGGTCCTTTTTGAAAATATCTTCCAAATTTAATTGCAAAATGGTCCCGAAGATGAAAAATAATTACTTTATTTAATTACACTAAAACCCCAAAAGTTAAGAATAATTACACTAAAGTATGCATTAATGCCCCTTTATTAAAGAAGTAAGCAATCAACATGTTTTTCTAGAAAAGTAAAAATACCACTATCATGGAAATCAAATATCATGAATGCATGCGAAACCAGAATCAAATCCGAGCACAAAAAGTGAGGTTGTGCAAGGAAAAAGGATAAACGAGAAAAAGACAAAATGTGAATAGTGTTCGAAAAAATAAAATATGGAAATGACACAATCCCCAAATGAAGTTGTCAATCCAAGGAAGAGAGTCTCAGAAATCATTCCAGAGCACTCGAGACGACATCAAGTGATGAAAAACCGAACCCAAAAAGGAAAAGACAACGGAAAAAAAATATCCATTAAAATCTGAGAAAAAGAAAAGGAAGAAAAATGACCGGGTCATTACAACCTTCCCACCTTAAAGGGATTTTGTCCTCGAAATCTAGCCCCAACAAAATAAAAAGGCGAAACCAGGATAACTACGGAGTACATCTCTGAGAATCCCTCACAACATACAACCCCATGTCATTCGCACCCACGTGCTCACGACAGGACAACCCCTCAAAAGAAAAGTGATCACATAGCCACACCACAAGTTGAAACTCACACACAGAACTTAAGGCCAGATGAAGGAACGGAAGACAACAATCAAAAGCACCCCTCATGACGAACAATCATAAGGAACCAAAAACAACCACCAACAGAACTCCAAGATATCCATGAATTAAATCAAAGTACTAAACAAAGACGACATGGCAGTACGAATAGCGACCAGAATCCACCCATGACGTACTCAAATGTGTGGTAGCAATGACAATTCTTAGTGCCCGCCCACACTTACTCGTCAGTAAGGTAGCATCGACGGCAACTAGCACCCGCCCACAGCACACAACTTGTACAGTAGCATGACAGTATAAGGCACCAATTCATAACCTGCCCCCACTAGGTCTACCCATGAAACCTCTCGATACAAATGACTTCAATGTCAAAAATGATCATTACCGAAAACACTACGGAAACTAACATTTTGTGAGAGTTGAGATATGGCCCAAAGATGTCCGGTCGGACCATCCTGGCCAATCCCAAAACTCTGACAACAATGCCATAGGTACCGCTACGCTTAAGGCCTTAAATCCTTAATACAAAAAGACCAACAATTTTAACATCTCAAAACACTACTATCGACAACATCAATTACGAATCCAAAGTCTGACATGCAAAACAGCATCTCCAAAATCCCAGATATCATCCTAAAATAGATCAACTATAAGACAACTCACCGTAATCAAACATCGGATCAAAATTCCTATCACGGATAACTAGATCCTCGAAATACAAGTCCACGAAGTGGCACACACATCAAAATCTTGACAACCAAGGTCATAGAACGAGTCTCTCAAAATCGTACTTGACAACACCAAGCTAAATCAAAATTCCTCAATTTCGATCCATCTATAAACAACCACTGGAACTATGATTCCTCAAGGCCATGCCTAGTCATAACTAGGACGAGAAAACTCCACAAGCAAGCCATATCCAACAACGATCCTCCAAAACTCCTCCTAAGAGTCAACCACATCCAGGCCTCCAAAACTGGAACAAGTCTCCAAAAGACATTCTCAAAAGAGCATCGAGCTCACCTCACGAATCAAACAATCCTTAAAGATATGGACATAAGTCTCCGTAAGATGATCTTACACCAATCAACTCACTTGAGCACCACAACCGTCAACAACCACGGCAGGAACTCCCCAAGGGAAGACACGAAAGAAAGGGGACCACTAGTCCTAAAAGGACAACACCACGACTCCATCTCTGAAATGAAAGACAACAAAGTCAACGACTTCACCTCCTACATGGAAGGAAGTCGACCAAAATCTATCAAATCCTCACCTAGGACTCAAGACAACAACGATGATCCTCATGGACCCACCAACCCCAAAACAGTGCACAACACAACGGAGGGAAGAGACTCACTCCTTGTGAAGTCCCTAACACGAACCAGCATAAAACCATTGTGGAAACCCGCATACAGACTACGTGCGACCAAGGGAAACGAATGGGAAAACCAAACCTGAAAGTCATGCATATGATAAGGAATGCAACTACCAGAAAGAAAATCTACTTACATAGATGAAAATCAAAAGCACATGCTGCACGTCTCCACATAAACACAAAAGTAAGTCATTAAAGCGCAGTAACAACATGGCATCTCGAAGCATATAAGAAATGCATGTTATTGCCACACAACAAGAAGGCAAACGTGAATAGACCTCCACCTACTCATGCATCACAATATCATAAATCATACTACTAACATGGTAGTAAATGAAACTGCAGAAAACAAAAGTGATGCAACAATGAACCCTATGTACATCGTGTCCTAGAGTGTCTAGGTAAAAAGGAAGGACTAGTCCTAGCCATATACTGACTCTAAAAACCAATGCAACAACAACCTGTCTCAAAACAAACGTGAGCCCTTACCACAATGGTAAGACTCTTACAATCCATCTCTGAATCTAAGGGTGACACTACAAGTGACACTAACAATGCAATGCTCTCTCTACCCGAAATATCTATCAATCGACTTGACCCCAAAAGCGTCTTCGCGCAGGGAGAACTCAAAGAAAATGGCAATTCTAGCCATACAATCAGACAACCAAATCGATCACTACGACTGATCCCCAAAACAACCATCATCATTATCGATCAAAAGGACTAGACATGTCGGAACAAAACCCAACGCTGATTCCATCCAAACTGCACTTGTAACTTGCCAGTACGGTAGCATGACAGTGCCATGCACCCGCCCACAACATACCCGCCCACGAAAATTACAATCTCAGAGGAACCTTCCAAAACAACCAAGGATCCCAAAAGGTCCAAAACCTAACCATGGCCTAAAATCAACAAATCCAGTACTACGGTTGTGCCTAATGGCTCACTCCACGAGAACTTAAGCAAAAGGTGTCTCTCCACCTACCTTAAAACCAACTCTAAGTCAACAACAACCTAAACTACAATACAACCATGACTACAATCACCATCAACCTCAACTCAAGCCTCAATGACCAATCTCGTGTCATGCCAAATATGCAACACAGTTATGCATATACAAATCTGATCTAGAATACATCATATGTCATGCTCTTTATATAATAATTAAATCATGCTAAACAAACGGCATACCACATGTAGCACGTAAGCACATAAACATGTTATCAAACCAAAACATATTATTATGAAGCATATAAACACATAGAGCATGGTAACATAAGCATGATATGCACCCAAAACCCGTTGTCCAAGGTATTCAAACCTAGGAGCTCTGATACCACCTGTAACGACCCGGATTTCTTAACTTCTGGTTCATCACTAACGCACCGGGTTGAGAAATCCGGGTTGTTACAACTATGTACTAATATGTAGCACTACCAACTACACAATGCTAAAGGAAATAAGAAGAGTAGAGATCTGAATTAAAATTACTTGCGTCAATGACTTTGCCATTGCAACGTCTTGATTAGTAAAGATCGTTTTTGGCACTTTACCGGACATTGCTTTAAAAAACATTTAAAAAAACCAAACAAAAGAACTCATAATCTCATCATACATGAACGCTGCTCCAAACACAGCGGTCTCCCGGTGATGATTCAAGCCCAAGAAACTTGCAAATGGACGGTTGCAATATAAAACTTTATAGGTTGTGTCAAAACTTACAACATCTCCAAAATTTCAATAATCACCTATCATTTCTGAATCTGCACAGAATATTTTTGTGATCATTTGTTCACTATCCAATTGGCATGCATAAAAGAAGGTTGGATCCTCACAAGAATGTGTCTTAAAATATTTCATAAGCCATCCTGCCTCTCCATATTCAAGCTTATTTTGTCTTCGGGTACTTATATGATTTTGTAAATGCATCTTCATGTACCCAACTGAATCTTTTCCACCAGCTTGCCTTCCCATTAACTCATTTGAATTACGAGGGGTTATTCCTGAATCGGAAGCCAATTCCAAATCAATAGCCTGAACGGAGGTAATTCTACGCTGGGACGGCATTATGTGGCTGCATGTATAAATCATCAAAGGATGGTTGTGGCTTTCAACAAAATTTGAAACTACCAACTTTTGCTTATACTTGCAATATTTAATAAGTATTCGAGCACCGCAACCGGTTCGTGTTTCGGCCCTGCGAGTCTTAGTATTAATGTCCCATTTGTCGTCAACCCTAAAACCCTCCCTGCAGTATGTCAACAATCTCAATAACACTTTACCAGTCTTCTTACTTGTATTAAAATAGTCTTTGCGGATGCTAAAACTGACTCGACTGCCATATGAATTATAGAAATCATATGCCTCTTCCTCGGTTTCAAACTCCATACCAAATCTTGGTTTCCATTCTATTACATTGGTTTCCTCTTTCTTCTATTTGAATCACTCAAATAAGAAACCTACAACATATAAAAACAAATAAACAAGTACTATTTTCCAGGTATGGACAATATATTTATTGAACAAACATTTGGTATATATATATAATTTTTTTTATTAGTACAGTTTTCTAACACATTAACATTATTGAACAAATGTAATGTATCAGGGATCAAGTTCCTACTACAAATAGTTTAATTTTGGTACAATAACAAAATTAGTGATTTATTTAACTTTTTCCAACTGAGACATACACTTGCAACCTTTTTGGGGCTTGTATTTCATACAAATTACAACTATGTTAAGTTATTAATTTAACTTTTTCCAAATAAGACATGCACTTCCAAACTTTTTTGGGCTTGTATTTTTTATAAACATTACAACCATGTTAATTTATTGATTATTACCAATCATAATTCTCAATTACCATTACAAATACTATAAAACATAGCCTTATAGGAATACAATGGAAAATTTATTAAAGATCTTAATATAAAATTCAAAGCTCCATTCCGTATAATAGAGAAAATCCCAACTCTTTTATAGTAATTATTACAAAATAAATTTTTAGACTTTCCTATTTATATGTAATAAATAATCAATATACTTATACGGCTTACAATAAATAATCAATCAATCCATCAATACACATTAATTAGGGTTCTAAAATTAATAAATTGGGTTGCAAAATAATCTTCAAAATACCAACGCATATAACCGGCCGAACAACAAAAAAAAAAAAAATTCACCATTTAATAGGAGATCAAGAATAACCAAATAAAACTAAAATAATGAAACATAATTTAACATGAGAAATTCGCTTACAAATATTGAAATAATGACACAAACAAACCCTAAATTCTTGGACTATAATGTCTACAAGTATTTATCTTTGTAATCCCTATACAAATTTTTCACCGACGACCACTATAGCATCGTCTTTTGTTTGTTATCAATTTCCTTTTCCAGCCATTCAATCAAACCACGTTCCGGTTGCCCTGTTAATTTGGAAAGAACCCTGTAAATTTGGAAAGAAGAAGAAGAAAAATTAGGAAAGAGATGAGATCCTCTATCTTGTTTTGGAAACAAATGAAAATCTGATTTTATTTTGGGAGAGAAGAAAGTAGAAAGAAGGAAAGTAGGGCGGGCCAATTGAAATTTCAATTTTAAAATTTCCTGTAATAGTATTTTGCTGATGAAGATGACGACGGCGTATATAAAACATATAATTAATATATATTGTGTATATATTATATATTTCTAGAAATACATTTTTTTAACCTTTTTACTTTTTACCGTATGACCGGATAGAACAAATCTCCTGTTCCATAACAAATGATTTTGATCCCCATAACGTGGACCCATATGTACAATAACTTTTAAGTTAATATTGGACTCCGAATCATGAGTAACAATACAAATTTATTAGGTACTTGGTGAACACAATACAAATTTATTAGGTAAAAAAACTAACCCCAATGTACTCTTTTACCCTTGGGGATCCATGGATATAAGTTATTGTCTTGTACCTCATCCCACAAATAATTTGAAAAAGAGAAATAAAAAAAAAAACCCAAGAAAAAAACAAAGGATAATTACGTAAACATGGAATTTGGATCCTTATTTACCATTTTATGGAGTCAAAATCCTGTTTTTTCGAAAAACTAGAGTTGACCAAAATACTGATATGAAATGAAAAAACAAGGGTAATTTACACAAACCTCCCTTATAGTTTGCCATATTTACACGGACCTCCCCTGTGGTTTGGGAATTTACGCGGACCTCCCCTAACAATGAAAATATCCTACACGGACCTCCCTTATATGTGACGGACCGTCAAATACACTAACGGACCTGTCAAAATTACTAAAATACCCACACATTGTTATCTTAAATTACTAAAATACCCATAAGCTTTTTGTAAGAGTGACGTCATATATATATATATATCTATATATATATATATATATATATTCTTTTCATTTAATGTATTTTCCCAAATGATGGAAAACATGTTTCTGTCGATCCCCATGCTGTTATCACCGACGGTCATTCAGAAGCTTAAGCTTCGACGCTCTGACCAGGTTTTGAAGCATGGCTTGTTGATCTTGAACGACCCCAAGAAGCGATCTGGTCTTTGCCCTAACAGTACATACTAACACGTTGTAAATTCCCAAACCATAGTACTTTAGTTGTTTTTCCGACTATAGAAATTACATCGTTGATCATCACCGCCGATTGTTGTTGCTAGATCAATCCCCCGATGAAGACGATCTGCTGAACCAAACCCAACCCTTTTGTCGCCACAAATTTCATTGAGGATGATCTCTGCACAATTCACTTCTGATCTTGATAAAGCGACTCAGAATCTTGGCAAGTGGTCAACGTACGTGAATTGCTCAAACAATCCCAATCACACACCCATCAAATTTGAGATTGATTTATACACACACACACACACACACACACACACACACACATATACCAAATGAAGATGATTGATAATCCATTATCATGAAACGGATAGACCCACAAAGATTTTAAGTGGATTTTTTACCTATGAAAGATTTTATTTGTAAAATTGGGTTTATTTAGGGTTGGATTGCATTTCCGATCACTTCGCTGGACTAAAATCAATTGTCTGTGGAGGGAAAATTCCACACCAACCACAACATACCACGTGGCAATAAAAGTACAATCCATTGCTAATTGAAACCACCCAGAAGCCTATTATCAATTGGGAGCCCAATAACAAAAAGTCCACAAACATGTCAAGTCGTCCCCATATATAAAGGAAGCTCCTCTTGACATAAGATGGATCAAGGGTCAGCTCGATCACTGTTAGCCCATAACTCCATAACGCCCACTATAAAAGAAAATGGCACAATATTACTGAGCATAAATACCCACGTCCAGAAAAACTGCTAGTAACGGCTCCATGTAATTCTCTGTACAAAGTTTATAAGTAAAGCATGAATGAGAAAGGAAAGGCATCGAATTCCCATCATTGTTTCTTTCTTATAAAAATTGTCTATTGTTTTCTCCATATTTCATATACCTTCTTTTGATTTATTTCTTTAAGTGTTCGGGTGTGAGAAATTGCACCTACACTTTGGCACCGTCTGTGGGAATTCGTTACAAAAAGTATGTTTTCTACCACTTTCATACGACATCGCTCTGGAATGGCGACATGATCAGACGCCGTACTAGCACAGCAGCAAGAAATCATGCAGAAAATGCGTGAAGAGATGCAAATGCAGTTTGACGCCCTTCGGCAAGCCAACGAAGCTAGTACTGAATAGATCAATACACTAACACAGGCTCATGAAGCCAATATAGCACAAATCATTGCTCTACGCCAGGAAAATGAAGGACTTCGAGGCAATGCTCGACAGAATAATCCACCGATCGACCCACAATCCGAGTGTCAGAACGAAGATCCTCCTCTGGCACCCGGGCTTAATAACCCTCCTCTTCAGCAGAGGGTTCCACGGTAATAGTTCAACGAAGTACTGGATCGGGATAATGCCGAGGAAACAGCGAGTTAATCCTGCATCCCAGGAAATTCCACTATGGGAGAGCCTCAAACCACCAAGGTCCCAGCCTTAGATGATGCTGATTCAGGAAGAAAGGAGGCATGGGTCCCAGATGCCGATCAGCAATCACCGAGGATACCGATCAGCAATCACCGAGGAATGATTTTATCACTAGGTTCCGAAAGGAAATGGATGAACAAATCAAAGGGCTGAAGGCCCAAACACCCGAGGTCATGGCGAGAGAATTCACTGCATCAATAGTGAAGACTCCCTTTACAGATGAGATAAAACGGGTTGCAAGACCTAAGAAGTTTATAATGCCGAAGTTCATCATTACACTCAAGAAATGACGCTAAAGGCACACAACGATCCGTTCATGTGCAAGATATTCCCATCCAGTCTAACAGGGGTAGCCCTGGAATGGTTCAAAAATTGCCCGTGCAAATCAATCTCGAACTTTAAGACGCTATGCATCGCGTTTCTTGCCCAGTAGTGCGGGAATAAAAAACAGAAAAAAACCATTTCCAGTCTCTTCACGATTCGGCAGAAGAAGGGATAAGGCTTGCAAACATTTCTCACTCAGTTCAACATGGAGTCCTCGGGTATTCTGGATTGTAATAAGGATACGGCCATAAAAGCATTCAAGATAGCCATGGTGCAAGGTTCATGTTTTCATTTTTCTCTGGCGAAGAAGACTCCGGCTAATAAATGTCAAAGTTGAATTTAAGAGCGCAAAACTACATCAGACTCGAAGAAAATAAAATAACCAAACTGCAAAAGGAACTCTGGTCACGGTTGAGAGCCGACCGAAGGAAAGCCCGAGCACCTCAAGGACCCAACGGGAACCCCCGAGCGTCGAGGGAAAAGCCCCGGAGAAAAAATCTCAAACAACCGAAAAGGTCACACCTCTCAAGGTGACACTGGCCAGATTGTATCAGGAGACTAAAGGCAGAAACATTTTTCATATCCTTCCATCGATCAAACAACCAATGGAGCAGAGAGACCAAAGTAAGCACTATGCATTCCATAGTGATTTTGGCCACCTAACCAATGATTGCAGGAGTCTGAGAGGGTAGGTGGCACTAGTAGCCAAACGCAAATTGGCGGACTACCTGATTAACTCGAGATAACAAAGGCAACCTGAGTGAGCACGGCCAACTCCGAAGGCTGCGGCAGATAACCATTCCGTTTGGGTAATCAATACAATTCACGGTCATCTGGAAGAGGATGAACAACCAGAGAATTCTTATAAGATTCAACTTAAGCAAGCCCATAAGTTATGAAGGATCAGCGAAATCAACGCTGTTGAGTGCAAACTGAGTCTTACGCAGATTTCCTTCCATGAGGGGGATCTCAGGAGGGTACATCATCCACATGAGGAGCCACTAGTGATTAGTCTACTAGTAGCCAATT